TGAACCCATTATCCATCGTTCCAAAAGCTAAAGCTTGGCTCAAGTAACCTAGTGGATAACGCCTTGGAGCTTGAAACTATGGGAACCGGGTTCAAGCCTCAGTGGATGGGGATGACGTGTCCCGAATCGGACGAAATGTGCATCCTAGATTCCATCGCTAGTCCACCATCCATCAACATTACTTCAAGTCAATCTTCACACATCATCGAGGCGTCCGTAAAAGGAGCCAACACATGTCAACACAGAGGCCGAACATTTCTCTCCAAGAAAAAACAAAATGTGATATTATCACATATAAAAAAAAGATATTAAGAAGCGAATGAAAAATGATACAAAACAGAGAGATCATTTCTACCTGAATATAATACTGATCCACCAGTTATCTTTTAGAAAACTTCCTACTGCTGATCTGAAATTGAATTTTATTTTTGAGAAAAAAGAAGTAGATTATATATATGTATTAATCGAAGTCTTTGCCTTACATGAAGTGTATAATACTGGCGATACTTAATGCGACAGCAACTCCTATTCCAAGTAGACTAAATGTCTATAGGAAAAAGAAAAAAGAGAAAAATTCATATTGTTTTGGTAAAATGAAAGTGTTGATTAGCAAATTATGTATCTTACCATTATTCTTGATGATTTATTTAACTGGCATTTTGAAAAGTTTATTTGTCTCTCTGTCATATTTCAGCTGGAAACTTGAACCTTTATTCTGCTGTCTCTCTCTTTAAGTATCAACCAGTAATATGCTTCAATTTGATATTATTCTTCAAGGTTATATTTGAGCGGTATCTAGTTAATTTAATAAAAAGAGGGGAGAGGGAATTATAAATAAAATCTGGTACAGTATAACAGGGTGCCTACCGATTAGAAGAAAGGTTACCTTTTCAAGCTACCATGCTACCATGTTCTGATCAAATCATGACTCTGCGCATAATCATCACAGAACAAAGCATAGAACGGTAGCCAAATCTCTCTCTACCTCAAGCTGGTAGAAGAGGCCAGCAGAGAGGACAGGACTCCTAGTGAACGTAAAGAAGACGGAGGTGATGAAGATAACCAACCAATAGCAACAACAACAAAAACAACGACCACCATCAATCACCATCAACGGGAGAGATTTGACAAAGATTACTTTCTTCACTTATCTGGCCAGGAAGCATGGTTTCAACTAAAAGCAGTCGGACAACACGGATGAAGATGTCAGAGCCGGTTAGAATCGGAAAGGCGAGATATGCCTTCACCAACCCGAAACCAGTTTAGAAATCTGCACTCAGTCAGCCCTCATAAGGAACAAGTTTCGTATTTTCATTACCAATGTCAAGTCGATGAGTTCTTCTATACTGGTCAGAAACTTGGCCAGCGTGTCACGAAAAGAATTTCTAACAAGTTACAAACTTTCATCAACAACTGTCACCTTCCAGGATTTTCATCATGAGCTGACATTAGTTAGAGAACCATTGGAAAACCTGGGAGTAGTGGACAGCTGTTTCGTCCTAGTTTGGGACCCTTCATCAGTACGCACCCACCGTCACCTTCTCTGGCTCCATGCTGAAGATCGAATGGCCAGAAAGAATTAGTAACAAGAAACTCTGGCAACAAACAGACCAAGATCCGAATGCTTAACAAATATGCAGGAGAAGATGGAGGTAGATTGGCCATTCATTGAAGAGGTCGTCGAATGACACCGCACGCAATGTACGCCATCACTTGTGTGGAATCTCAGTGGGAAGGAACGAGTGGGCTGCGAGTGCTAGATTGACATGGAGGAGATCGTGTGAGTTGGAGGGGGAGATGAAAGATTATGGTTAATCGTGGACCCAGCTGAAGGGGACAACAGAGAATAGAAGAAAATTCAGATGTGCTGTTGAAGTCCTTTGTTCTACTTGGAACCCAGCGGAACAATAACAAGATTTTTTTAGGAGACACGCAGATATACACCCTTTGACATATTCAGCTTTTGAGTTTGGTTCGAAGAATTTGGATTGATTTCAGCTTAGATTTCTTAAAAAGTCAACCAACACCACCTAGAGAGTCATTTAAAACCACGGTGAAGCACTGGCCAGCTATTTCAAACCCCTTCAGCAGTGCGAACCTATTACCCTGAAAATTGATAGAAATTAGTGATGGGGTGATTGGTGTCCAGTCTGGTCGATGGTCTGATAGAATGTCAGCATGAGACTCTTATGCACGAGGTTAAATTTTGGGACATTAAAGGTGGATGAGACATAAAAACCAGATACGGCATCGATATACCACATCCTCAGAACAGAAGCTACCATTGGATCTATAACTACCACCAGTCAATCCGGAACCAACCAAAAAGGATTCCAAAGTCGTAAGGGAGATTTTATCCGGCTGTCGCTCCGATGGCAAAAGGTCACAGACAGTAGGTTTCCAAATCGATCCAGGGAAAAGAAGATACTGAATCATTTTGAACACTTTTTTGGAGAGAGGGGTGATATGGTAATCGATGTTTAGTCTGGAAATAAGCCAAACAGAATTGACCTGCATAAAATTCGCCCACTATTTTACTAATCATGATTACAGACGAACTGACATATCCCAGGTGATGTTCTGAATTAAACGTTATATATATGTATATATACTTACTTTCCGTCTAGTGTTTGGTGTGCTGTAGCTTAATTTATAGGCTGAGAGATCGGTTGATCGTTGTATACGTTATTCGCACAGACAAGCGGTACTCATGATCACCAGCTCAGTGTCCCTATTTCAACTCAACGTTTTGCAAAATATGGTATTTAGTACTGAAATTAGACTTGGTAGCTGAACTGTCAACGGGCTGAACTTGTAATCTGAAAGCCCTGAGTTTTATCAGTAGTTGTGTTATGGGTATACATGACTGAAGAGCCCCAAACTAGGATGAACCAACTGCCCAGTGCTCCTAGATTTTTAATAATTCTCTGTGCGTCGGTGGCACAGTGGTTAGGACTCTCGCCAACCATGCACATGGTCCGGGGTTCGATCCCCTGCCGGCGCACACCCGATATCTATGGTCAGCCTGAATTTGGGCTACCGATATCCGTGCTGAAAATTCCATACTTGTACTGAAAATACGGTGTGGAATCAAGCCGTAAAATCAAAAAAAAGACTAATGTCTATGTGAAATCTGCACTTATATTTAATTTAAATAGTATCGAATTCAACAATAATAAGTTGAATGGTGAGTCATTTTTGAAGTATTACTTTTTAGGGGTTTTGATTTGTTTCAATTTCGATCATGGACAGCTGTTTTGTCCTAGTTCGCGATAAAAAATAATCAAGAATTAGTCGAAGTTAGAATTCGTGGGCCACTGAATCAGGATCCAGTGGCTGAATGGTCTACGATATAGCCCCGATTTCGAATCCCTGTGCGTTAATGGTAATGAAGAGTCCCGAAATAGGACGAAACAGCAATCCATCTCTAACTGTTATCAGTCTATGTTCAAACTTGAATTAAATCATTTTTCTTATCTAAATTGCTTTGTTCAGTGAATAAGTAAGCGTTATTTGCAAAAAAAGAACAGAATAGCCTGAGCCAGCAGTGGAATAATGTGCTGGCGCTCTCTCTTTGCATAAGAAAGATCAGTGGTGTTCTAGTAAATGTAGCCACAAGTAAATGTTATCTAGTTTTCATAATTACTTTTACTACTCATCTATGCTCTTCCTATATCTATCTTAGTTAAAAACCTAGATGTAAATGAATAAAAGTCTCTGTGATATTAGGTTAGGCACTACTGTCATACGTTGAGGAGACCATTTAGTGATATTAAACGCCAGGTCCTCCAGTGGAACTTGAATGGGGAACGATGAATTGAGCGTCTGAGGGTAATATGGAGGAAATAAAACTTTATGGGCAATCGTGAGGGCAGATAAAGGTGACTGCAGAGATGAGGACAACATGGGAAGCCTTATGTTCTGCTTGGGACCTAGGGGAGTAATTGTAATAATAACTATCATATACATTGTTCAGCAACTTAGTCTGGCATTCGTGAACCATAAAGTGCCAAGCTATTGACCAGGTGGTATCTGATTCATATAACACAGTAAACAACTATCATGACAACTCAATCTTGTTAAGTCTGACCAACAAATAACAGAGTAACTTAATAAAAAAAATTGAGCAAAGAATATTCTCTTCGATAAATTCCTCTTCTGGCTCTACAATTATATATGCATGTTTATATACATAGAATATTCTAGATTAGTAGTCAATAACAATATTAGTGCTTTTTAAATAATATCGATTTGTTAAGTAAGACCAATGTAATTACAGTTCATTAAAGATGCTTAAATTATAATAATAATAATAAAGATATAGTAGCAAATAGAATATCAACTAAAATTAGGAAAATTCCACAAAATTCAGGATCATTCAAACCTAGATGGCCAAGGTAAGGATAATGTCTGAACTAACTTCTTTTGGATGCACAAATTAGGCTTGTTAATATGGATCCCAACAGCTTCAGCAATATTTAGTAGTCGAACTCTTAAGGCAAAATTGAGATTCGTAGGTATGCGGTAAATGACCCTGAAAGCATGGTTAACGTCAATCTTGTGTTCTGTATCCACAAGATGAGATAGAATAGAGCTGCGAATAGATTTTGTTTGTCCTTTGCTTAACTACACAGGGTGATGTTCGGAAATTCGACGAGAAACACGCCTGATTGTACGGCCTATGTAACTGGCTCCACAGGAGCAGTTAAACTGGTAGATACACATGGAAGAGGCGAAATTAGACAGTTTGTCTTTTACTCCCGAACGCAGAAGAGGAGTGGTTTTGAAGACACAGCGTAATTCGGCAGCAGGGAATGCTCTTTTATATCACTGACATTATCCCCGAGGAAATGAATTTGTAAGAATTAGGTCTTTTTCGGAAATGCTGGTACCTTCGGCTGCTTTGATTTTAGATTCATATTCTTATCAATAAACTTTTCTGGATAACCGTTTTCACTCAGCAATCGTTTAATACTATTAAGTTTAGTTTTATAGCTCACCTTTTTGTAAATATTTCAATCGAATTTTTAAAATGTAATGATTGAGCACAATACTAGCTTACACCAAGTCAAAAGTGTGCTTATATATTGTATTTTTCATCACGTCAACACCATAACCTTATTTAATATAAGTCCAATATCCACCAATGTATACTTCAAACGTATTACTAATTTGTACAGCATAAATTATTGTAAATATCAGAGTACACTATTTTTTGATCATTGAAAATGTAAATTGTATTGAAGTACTATTATAAGAGTGTTGATATACTCAGCTGAAAGATCGAACTTTTGATGATCTTAATTGTATAAGTGTTTTGACTAGGAATAGTTTAACTAGATGTTTATTAGTCTGGAATATATGTATTTCAGGATTTAGTGATTCAAGTTAACCTGTTCTCTTAGATGATATTACAGCTGACTGGCTAGTTTAGCTGATCGAATGATTAGATAAAGTTTTGGTGAAGTTATGTACGCTGATGAGTTAATTTACTGGACTTTAGTTTTTGACTATCATGCATGTGGTCGCAGTTTCAATGCCTGGCCTACGCACTTCTAAACCTCTTTAAACCTGTAGTAAGGCTGATAAAGAGGAGAGGTTGAGCATGAGGTTAGCAACACTAGCCCGTAAAGATGTAACCACTGCTACTGATACTTCAAACCTCTAGCTTGAAGGCCTTTTTTTCACTCGGGACGTAAAGGAATTGTGCTGAATTACGCTGTGTCTTCAAAACCACTCCTCTTCTGCGTTCGGGAGTAAAAGACAAACTGCCTAATTTCGCCTCTTCTGTGTGTATCTACCAATTTAACTGCTCCTGTGGAGCCAATTACATAGACCGTACAATAAGGCGTGTTTCTCGTCAAATTTCTGAACATCACTCTGCGTGGTTAAATAAAGGACAAACAAAATCCATTCACAGCGCTATTCTGTCTCATATCGTGGATACAGAACACAAGATCGATGTTAACAAGCAGGCTTTCAAAGTCATTTACAGCATATCAACTAATCTTAACTTCAACATAAGAGTTCGTCTACCGCATATCGCTGAGACTGGCCGTTGGGATCCACATTAGGCAACCTAACTTATGCATCCAAAAAAAGCTGGTTCAGACACTATCCTTATTTCGGCCATCTGGGTTAGAATGATCTTCAATTTATTGTGGATATTTCCTTAATTTTAGTTGATATTCTATTTACTGTTATATTATTATTATTACTATAATTTATGCATCTTTGGCGAACTGTAATTCCATTGATCTTACTTAACAAGTCTATATTATTCAAAAGACAACGATATTGTTATTGACAATTATTCTAGAATATTCTATGCATATAAAAATATATTCTTTGTTTATTTATCAAGCAGTTATGATGCCCCATATAGCGTAACTTGATGTACACGTCTTTTGTAGGGGCGAGTTGGAGAATGGGTCGTCGTGTTCTGTCTACTTTATATCTCCTGATGAAATTGTCTGGATAATTGTTATCAACCAGAGTTTGTGTCAACTTTCTTTCTTCTTCAGCAAGTGTGTCTTGAGTGCATATTCATTGGATTCTACTGAAGAGGCACCTTATTAAGGCTCTTTTGTACCAAACAGAGCAGAAAGTGTGATAATTAAGATACTGTTCAGTCCAGATAGTTTTCCTATACATAGATCGTTTTATTGATCCATCAAGCCGTCGACTAAGCAATATGTCTAGGAAAGATAAACAGTTGTCTTCCTCTTCTACAGATGTAAGTGATATACTACTCTGAACTTCATTCATCAGGAGATATAAAGTAGTCAGAACGCCAAGACACATTCTCCAACTCGCCCCTAAGAACGACGTGTACATCAAGCTACTCTTTATGGGGCATCATAGCAATCTGATAGCTGGACAAAGATTGAACGCTGGCTGTTAAAAAGACTTTTTATGCAGCTAATATCATAATAACTGATAAAAATATAAATGAATAATTGTAGGGCCAGAAGAGGAAATTATCGAAAACGATATTCTTTGCTAAATTTTTTGTTTTTTCTAGATTTCTCAGTGAAAATTTTCGCTATAATAATAGAAAGAGGTTTCGACTTATTCCGAAATCCATTACAAGTGGTTACTTCCCAGTACTATTCTTCATATTGTGCATTTTTCTGGAGCGAACCTACACTTGACATAAATATACATGATTATATGCGGGTGAAAATTGGAGTTAATAGAGAGACTGACAACAGTTTGGCATCAATGAAACTTAGGCTGTCTTCCTGTCTCCTATCAAGATTAGTGTGTGACTCTGCAGCGGTAAATAATTCTCTAAAATTATTAGTCTGCAGCTTCTGTCATTCAACACTAGGATGCTGACATTCAGTGTTTAAGCTAAAAGTACGCAGTCAACCATTCACGCCACTCGGTACACTGTCGTGTTATGTTCCGTTGTTTCAGCAGGCAGATATCACTGTCCTAGGTTTTTGATTATGAAGTATTTTTCGTTGTTTTGATTTGTACTTCGTCTAGGTGGTACAAGTACTTTTAGAGCTGGATGACAAACAGTCGCATTTACATATAGCGTGTCTTGCATAACCGCCAACATGTGGAGTCTGGAGCAGTTTGATTGCACAGTTTTTTGTTAGGTGTTTAAAATGGAAAGACTGTGCAAAACTTTTGTTTAACACAACTCATTGTAAAATATACCTAATTTTGGAGCACAATCCAAAATACAACGTGCTGCTTTTCACCTCGTTCTCTCACTGGTCCTTACTGTCTACTTGCTTCACTAATAACCGTGTTGTATCCTTTGGATTTTGCTGGAACCTCTGATTCTCATCCGAAGACTATTCTACAGCTCCTTCTAGTGAACGCTTCTGTGGATTATATTAATAATTTGCAGCCGCGGACTTTAATTATATCATTAAGTAACCACTAATTTCTATCCAATATCGTTTTTACGACCCAGGGTAAACCAATTTGATTTCTTTGTGCTCGCTTATTAGTAGTAACGCAAAAGTTTCTGGTCTTCAGTAAGCTTCTGAGTACATCGTCCCAATAATCGACTGTCGTAGCTCTGGTTGACTCTGTAGTGTACATTGAGCCTTTGAACTTTTGTTTGAACGCACTCACCCACTTTTTGGCACTTCTTCCTCTTTCGATTCGTGACTCTCCTGTACCTTTTGGGTTCACTCTCTCGTTGTGCTTTCATTCAGCGCACTCTCCGAGCCTACCACGGTCAAGGCAGCAGATAAGTGTATAACCTCTTATTTTTATCAAATTTCATATCTCATTTGTGTAAAATATAACTCTGTTCCAGGCACACTTGCCATCTCGAGTCTTTTTACCTTGATTCAGTTCGTTAGTACTTGCACGTTAGGCAGAGTACAGCTAAGATCAGAAAGCGGTGAATAAGTTTTGTAAGGGTGGTTGTTTTAGGTCTACATTAAGCCAAGCCTAACCCTTACAACTCCTAAATAAGTGATGCTGGGATTGATTATATGTGGTATGTGGTGTGTTAAGAACGTGTTTCCACTGGGAATAGAGTTGATTCTTTCGCCCGTTAACTGTATTTTTATAATATACTGTTATAATTTTCCTTCATTAGCTTGGATTTTCACTCTGATTTATTGTACTGTTACCGAACTCGTTATTAAGTCCCCTACAGAAATCCTTAATCTCTCAAACTGGTGAGCCCGTGAATGAAACTCACTTCCTAAACTTGTGAACTAGAGAATGAACTTCACTGTATTTCTGTCAGTTCTTTCCATTCGGTACATGTTCACTTGATATATTTTCGTATAAACCATTTTTGTATGTTTAACCAGTCACTCAAACTGAACAAACCTGCCTTACCATTTAGTTCGCGTCATATTTGCCAAATAATGCAGGACGATGATTTGCTGAACATGGACATGAGGTCACTGGTCCACGTCCGCTCTACCATGGGAACTAAACAAGTGCATTACCCTACATATATTCACTTCACATGTAAGGAATCCCTATTAGACGCTTACGACAGCAGTCCTAAAGAGAGAAATAATCTCTTGGATCCCCAACATCTTAACAAGCTCTTCTGCAATTTCGATATAGCGGATAGTTCTGCTGGACACATGCTTTTTCAAGGGTATCGCAGTAAATAGTCCCCTAAAACTACAGCCTACCTTATTCATCGCTCAACATTGGACACTGACCTTCACTGTCTTATTCAATTTGTGAAGATAAAGATTTACGGCCAGGTACCCACACCCTTCGGTACTCTGTCGTTCTGCACTCGTACGTTATACCCAGCTAGTTAAGCAATCGTCATCACACTACTATTATGATCCCGAAATATATCACGTATTTTGGACGATCAGTTTGATGTTTTTACTTGTCTTCGGCCTTAGCAGAATAAATACTTAAGATCTTGGGGTATAAGAACTCGTGTTTGTATGAAACGTGCCTCATGAAAACGTCAATACCCCTTATCTCTTATGTTTCTGAGCTGGCATTTAATCTGGCGAACATGCAAACGATTCCAGTGAGTTCGTTCCACTTAATATTTGTTCTTTTGTTATATTTATTAAATTCTAACAGACCTTTTTAGCTCCAGGTGACCGTACGTCTAAGTTTATTCATATCCGACGAACTAGCGCCCCCATCTTGCACCCGCTGTTTTGACCAGACAGTGCAAAACAGGTTTCTGTACAGTGGGGCCGATTTCTATAAACAAGGAGTCACGGAAAAACGTTCACAATTCTTGGCACTTTTACGTGCTCTGCCGTGGGAGTCAAGCACGTGAGTTACCACGAACACGTTCACTCAAGAGGCAGGTACTCTTTAGGTAGGCTTAAAGCAATCATCCTAATAAAACGATCCTTCAGATTGGCAGCGTCTTGACGAACTCTTCAGTGATGTTGAGTTAGGAGGTAATTCGACAATACACATGCTTTTATGAATGCAAGAAGTTATCGGCCATCGAAACTTGACGAGGGACTCTTCAGAGAGTTGCTGCTATCTATGTTGCCACGGCCAATGCAGACTGTGTTTGTGACACTTCAAGGAGTTGTCATCGATGATTAAACTCCTTCAGCCGGT